GAACACGCCTTGTAACTTGTGGCAAGGGAAAATTCCGTTGGCTAGATTATCCAAATCGTAGCGCGCTCAACAAAAGTAGTGAAACGTACAATTTCGATCGCTGTTTTTCCAACTGCAGGCGATGCAAAAAGGGACAATTCTAGAATGATTTATTTTTCTTTAAAATGTGTCCCGGAAATCTCGTGGGTTTTATGTTCAACTACTAACACGCGCTTAAAAGTTCATTCATCGCTCACACGTACAAATCAGAGGAGCTGAGTATATTCTGCGAACTATATTTCTACTTTTAAGAGGCAAGATAAATTTTCATGACACAAGTGCAAGACTCTAATGTAAAGTATATAATGTCAGCACATTACATACTTTATGGTTGGAATGTTATCTTACCTCCGGGCGTCTCGCAAATGTGGGCATTTCTTCTAGGCGTAGAGATAACATTAAAGAGGCCTCCATTCTTAGATATTTCCGCCCATTTGTCGTTACTATTTAGCTGAGAATCTCGCCATTTCGAAATATTCAGTTTTTCTCCACTCACCCAAGTCCAAACCCGCCTTTCTTCTCTAAACCAATGTGCCACGAACTAGTATTCCAACTACCACGTTTTTTAATCTCTTAATTGATAAACTGCCATTCTTCTTCAGTTTCGATGGAGACTAAGTAGCCTCCCTGACTGGAGCAGACATTCCTGTTGTTAACCCAAACTCTTTCCCATGTTGAAAAGATGCAAGAGGAGTTTTTGAAACAGGTTGCATGGCATTCTATGAGAAGCAAATAAATAAATAAATGAAAAAATTTCTACTGACGATAACAACAATGCTAACACGAATATAGAAGCGATCCTCCATCCTCGATCCTCAAACAAACGATGGACATCAAAAACCCTCTACCTCACTAAAACAAAAATTAGAATTAGGCTTCGTTTTACCAGTGGAAATTGTGGAGATCAGGGTAGTAGCGCCGTTATTCTTTGAATTTTTTCTTTTGTTCTCCAACTTACGTTTAAATTACAATCCGAAGTAATTCTAACAGGAAGTCTATAACTAATTATGTGCATAATCAGTCAGATTTTTTTTTCCCGTTCAATTTAAGGTGCATAAATAATAAAATTGGAATTAAGCTGCCTCACCTGTTCCTGACAAATCCATCAACAAATGAAGGATGACTGTTGAAGAGAAAATGAGCAAATAAATTGATTTTTAACTCAAGAATAACATTTGAGACAATGAAAAAGTTTATCAGATTTCGATTTAGACGGTGCTAATGCATTTTATTTGCTACATACCCTTTAACTTCTACCCAGGACTTTTATTACCTTCCCTAGGGAGGAGACGGAGAAATTTTAAAAAATGCCGCATCTCCGCAATTTACCAACCAGCTGAACAAAACTTGTGTAAAATTTTTTTAAGGACACGGTAGACATTCGCGAATGTCCATCGGAAAATTCTTTAAACAGGCTATTCAGAGTGCAGCTAGGTCATAAAACAATGAAAACGATGTAAAATGCACTATCCAGAAAAAATAGTGTTTCGTTTTAGCTCAAAACAATTCAAAACGGACGACGGCTGTTTCTTTAACCAAATGAATCGGGTATCTATTCTGACCGCTTGAATAAAAACTTCCGCACAATTTGAATCTTGATGGGTTGGTTTCCAAAATCTGTGAGGATTTTTCCATATTCTTGGGTGTTACTAAATTGTGGATCAGCAGACCGTGGAACCTGCGAAACCCACATATTTTGTTTTTTGTTGTTGTTGTTGTTTTTTTTTTTCGCTAAAAGAAGAGCATTGAGATAAGTATAAGCTTGATTTCGGGTACAAAGAAGAAAAATTTAAAAGAAATATATATGTATTAATTTTCAACGATGTCCAACTTGGCGAGCAGTTAGCAGTCATCTACTCTGAGTGTTAATAACTGAACAATAATTCGAAAGCTGTAATGGCCTGGGTACCGCGATATTTGATAACGCCTCATCCGAAGGCTCTCAGTGGACCTAAAATTTGGAATTCGTTGTAAATGACCCTGGAATGAGGAACACGAGGTGTAAAGTAACATTATCGTCCGTGATCCTCGTAGAATTTCGGGGTGAACCATTAAACATGACTGGAAAGAGGGCTTTATTAAAAAGCCAATCTTATAATTTTTAATTTAAGCATCAATCAAAATAGAATCTCCGAGTGGCTGTAAGGAATTCCATAACTGAATTTTAATACGTAAATATTGCTTAATTTTTAGAGTTGTTTTAATTATTTTTTCTGTGAGTTCACTTCACTTTAACCCCTCAGCGCATTCTTAAAATCAGCCATCGAAATTCATGAATAGTAATGGTGTTTTAACTTATTACGAGTAAGGAAAAAGTACACCAACCCAATCAATTTTTTTCCAAACCCCGGATCGAAAGTTAAAGTATGTATCTGTCTAACCTAATGCTAATTTAAGTGGATCCTGTTGGGTAAGTAAGTTCGATCGCTTTTCTAAGCTCGTCAAACGTTTAGCAGCTATCTGACGCATAAAAAGAGGAGACGCGTTTCCCTTTTCACATCTTGTCATAGTGACATAAAACGATAGAAACTAAGCTATCTGTTCCTATTATCTTAAATATAACTGCAAAAGCTGTTGTGCAGACAACCACGACGAGAACAACATGACCACCGCATGAATGTCTGTCTTGTGCTATTTGATCTTTGATTTCTTTGCAATATATGGAATCTAAAAGGCTTCAGGAATCCAATTTACGAGAGATCCTTCTCTAATTAATAACTAAGAGTTTATTGCGCACATCTTTACAGGCTGGCTTGTTTTGTTTTAATTAAGAGTGCCAAATAACCGCCACCTGACATTTTTTCTCAGATTGGTTTCGCTGAGTTTCACAAGACGTTCTAAAATCGATATAAATGTTTTGCAAATGGATAGCCAAGATATAATTAAGGTGGTACTTACCTAGCGCACAACTTATATAATTAAATTGTACTCATCACACAATTCATCAAGCGCATGAAACTATTATAGGTTACTATTATAGGTTAGTGGGAGGCGCGGTGGCTTCATGGTTAGTGCGCTCGACTCCGGATCGAGTGGTCCGGGTTCGAGCCCTGGCTGGGGTCATTGTGTTGTGTTCTTAGGCAAGACACTTTACTCTCACAGTGCTTCTCTTCACCCAGGTGTACAAATGGGTACCAGCAAAAATGCTGGGGGTAAGCCTGCGATGGAGTAGTAATACTCCTAGCTGCTTCATGCTAATGAAACCGGAGTTAAGCGCCGGGCCCATAGGCCACTTGGCCTGTATAAAGGCTTACTTACCTAGTGCACAACTTATACAGTTGTACTCATCGCACAATTCATCAAGGACACGAAACTATTATAGGTTGCTGTCAGTAAGCTGTCTTTACACTTACACGGATGTTTCATTCTGGCTATTTCTTTTTCAATCATTTGGCATTGGGCGGAAAGTGAAAAGAAATGAGAAATTAATAACAATGATAATAATGATAATACAAAGATCCCAAAGTTTTACTATGATGATTAAAAATAGTTTATAAAGGAGATGTGTAGAGTTTGGTATGTTTCGTTATTAGAGCTCCGAAGGTTTAAAATGAAAATGAATATTTCACAAATTGGAAAGTTAGTTTCGACGGTTTCGTAGCTACAGCAGAAAAAA